CCCCAAAACCCCAAAACCCCAAAACCCCAAGATCAAAGATTTAATTGGATAATTAATAAAAAGCGTGTACAATGGGAAAGAAAAAAGGCAAGAATAAGGCCAAGAACCAACCTGAGATCGTCGATGAGGGTATCATTTACCCAGCACAGAGAGGTAAGTCATAAGGGAAATTAGGACATGAAGAAGCCTCTGGGAATTTGATAATAGGGTTTCTGTGTTGAAGAAGTCCTTATTTTGGAATATAGTGATGCTACAGATCGAGAACTCCAATAGTTATGGCCTTAGTATCGACAACAACATGATTTTTAATACTTATGTAAGAATTTTTGGATTATTAATAGATTAAAAACACTCTGATAAACTTAAAATTCCTCAAAATTAACCAAACGATCAAAATTTGTGTTTATGGAGAAAACCTTCCTTGTAAAGTAATCAGGGCTGAGTCAAAAATTCCTATTTTGACTGAGGAAGAACTTGCTGAGAAGCTCAAGTCAGAGGAAACTGAAGAGTCTAAAGAGGATATATCAGCTGAGATGGAGGAGAAGCTGACTCTTGAAGAATCCAAACAAGAGCTTCCGCATTTAGTACTGTTTTTGTATAATTCTTTAGTATTGTGTTGAAAAAGACACTAAAATCAAGCTCTACATTGAACAAGATGATGAAGATGAAACTGTCTCAGTCAAAGAGATGATTGAACTCACTCAAAAATACAAGCTTGATTTTGATGGCCAACAGCCTATTGTGTTAGGAGAAATTGAGGATAAATTCAATTGTCTTCAAGAGCTTATCAAACTCAGGTTTGAGAAAGCTGATGAGATGGAGAAAGAAGGTATCATGCAAATCAAAGGAGTCATTTTAGGCAAGTCCAGGCATATAATCTCTAGATGGTCCTTCTGGTACAGGAAAAACTACTTTCATGCAAATGGTGTCACAAAGAATTGAGTATCCGATTTTTGGCCTCACTGCTACTCAGATGGGAATGAATAAGGCAGATGAGATCAAAGACCTGTTCACAATTGCGAAGAATAGCTCTCCTTCCATCATCTTTATTGATGAAATAGATGGTATCTCTGATGAGAAGAATGATGAGACAGCTATTTTGCTAACTAAGCTGATAGATCGGATCAAATGGGTCGATAAGATCCTCATAGTTGCTGCTACAAACAATCCAAGTAGTGTCAACAAGTTCTTTAAGAGAACTGGAAGGCTCGACTCTGAAATCAAATTTGACGCCCCTACTTCTGAAGGTCGATATGAGATCTTCAGGCAGTACTTTGATAAATGTCAGAGTGACCTTAGCGAAGAAGAGGTCAAGTCTTTAGCAATAGCCTCTAGTGGGTTTGTGGGGTCTGATATAGCTTCTTCGATCAGAGATGCTTATATTAGAGCTATGAGAAGGATAGACCCTTTGTCTATGGAACTTCCTAAAATTCAGAAGATTGATATAGAAGGAGCTATCTTAGATGCTAAGCCAAGTAATATCAAAGACCTTATCGCAACAGTTCCCCAAGTTTATTGGGAAGATATAGGTGGAAATGCTAAAATTAAAAAGCAGTTGATCGAATGTGTTGAATGGCCTTTGAAATACCCAGAATCTTTCAAGAGAATAGGAATTAAAGCCCCTCAGGGAATTCTTTTGTACGGGCCTCCTGGGTGCTCTAAAACTTTGATGGCAAAAGCACTAGCTACTGAAAGCAAGCTCAATTTTATATCAATTAAAGGACCAGAGTTGTTCAGTAAATATGTTGGAGATACTGAGAAAGCTATCAGAGAAATATTCAGAAAAGCCAGGATTTCTTCTCCATGCATCATATTCTTCGACGAAATAGATGCTATGGCTAGTGCAAGAGGAGACGATGACACCAGCGTAGGCGATAGAGCCCTCTGCCAATTGCTGACTGAAATGGATGGAATAGAGGAAAAGTCACAAGTCATTGTAATCGCTGCTACTAATAGACTTGATATCCTCGATAAAGCTATTCTCCGCCCTGGCAGATTTGATAGACATATTGAGATTCCATTCCCTGATGATGAAGGAAAGCTTGAAATCCTCGAAATCGGGTGTAGAGATATGCCCCTTGCCGAAGATGTGGACTTAACAGCTATTGCTAAGAGGACTACCTTCTTCTCAGGTGCTGATATCGCCCTTGTCTGAAGAGAAGCAGGTCTCCTCGCCATCAGAGAAGACATAGAAACCAAGGAGGTAAAAATGTGCCACTTTGAAGAAGCATTGCAATCAGTTAAAACACGTAAAAGATAAAATATCTTCCAATGCAAATCAGAATATTGGGGTTTTGGGGTTTTGGGGTTTTGGGG